ACACACACACACACACACACACACACACACACACACACACACACACACACTCACACACACACATACACTCACACTCACACACACTCTCTCACACTCACACTCACATACACTCACACTCTCTCACACACTCTCACTCACACTCTCACACACTCACTCATACACTCACTCACACACACACACACACTCACTCACACACACACACACACACACACACTCACACACACACACTCACATACACACACACACACACACACTCACACTCACTCACTCTCACACTCACACTCATACACTCACACACTCTCTCACACAGACACACACACTCTCACTCACACACACTCACACACACACTCTCTCACACACTCACTCACACTCTCTCACACAGACACACACACTCTCACTCACACACACTCACACACTCACACACACACACTCACAAACACTCACACACACACATACACTCACACACACTCTCTCACACTCACACTCACATACACTCACACTCTCTCACACACTCTCACTCATACACTCACACACTCTCACTCACACTCTCACTCACACTCACTCACACACACACACACACACACACACACACATACACTCACACTCACACACACTCACTCTCACACTCACACTCATACTCTCACACACTCACTCACACTCTCTCACACAGACACACACACACTCACTCACACACTCTCACTCACACACACTCACACACTCACTCACACACACACACACACACACACACTCACACACACTCACACTCACACACACTCACTCTCACACTCACACTCACACACACACACACACACTCTCTCACACACTCTCACTCACACACTCTCACACACTCACTCTCACACTCACACACACACTCTCTCACACACTCTCACACACACTCTCTCACACACTCACACTCACACTCATACACTCACACACTCTCTCACACACTCACTCTCACACTCAGGATTCTCAGTAGTAAAACCTTCTACAGCTGTAAATTCAGGTCATGTGACCTGTTGCAGGTGTAAACTTCTGGCTCCGCCCTCTGATGTCACTACATTTATTCATCACCATGGAAACAGAGTCAAACTGAAACAAGCTTTATTACAAAGTAAAAAAAAACATCTTTACAACAGGTGAGTGAGGGGCGGAGCTTCAGGGTCGAGGAGGTGGTCTCATTCCTGGTGGAGGCGGTCCTATAAAGAGAGGTCATAAAGTCAGCTTACAGCATGCTGGAACCTGATTGGCTGCTTGGTCTCCATGGTAACAGCTTACCCCTCATCCCAGGAGGCGGTGGCCTCATGCCGGGGGGAGGCATTCCCATCGGGGCGCCACGACCCGGTCCAGGAGGCATACCCATCGGAGGGCCCATCGGGGGCCGCATGCCAGGGGGCGGGCCCATCATACCTGCAGGGGGAGGAGCCAGGAGACATTAGTGACATCACTTCATGTCAGAGCAGGAACTCAGTTCTGATCCAAAACAGATTTTAAACGAAGCTGAAGCAACAAACTGATGAAGACGTTTGTCTAAAAGAGGTTTCACTGTGTGGAGGAGGAACTGAAACTAAAATAAAGTTTTATTTTATCTCAACTCATCTCATGTCATGTCATCTCATGTCAACTCATGTCATGTCATCTCATGTCAACTCATCTCATGTCATCTCATCTCATGTCATCTCATGTCAACTCATCTCATGTCATCTCATGTCAACTCATCTCATCTCATGTCATGTCATCTCATGTCATCTCATGTCATGTCATTTCATCTCATCTCATGTCATCTCATGTCATCTCAACTCATGTCATCTCAACTCATGTCATGTCATTTCATGTCATGTCATCTCATGTCATGTCATCTCATGTCATGTCATCTCAACTCATGTCATGTCATCTCA